AAAGTGCAACAAAGATGATAATGCAGTGACAGAGTGGAATTTTTGACAACAGAATTGATAGCAATAGTTCAGTGCATGAAATGTTTTGCATGTAGTTGATTTCACAGGTGCTGTAGCAGTGCATGTATGTAACTAGAGTATAGAATGTCCCCCCTACCTAGCCCGCCAGTGAGGAATTGAGCTGCTTCTGATCTTCTGTGCTTCGTTTAGATTGAAGCAAGTTGATGAGCAAGGCAGAACTAAGATTTGATCTCATGAGTAGTCAATCGTACCTAATCCTGACTTGGTGGTGGTTTACACTTACAGAGCTTAGGAAATAAAGCCTTTGTATTTCTACCAGAAAAATACTTATATGTGTGTGTGTGTGTGTATGTGTGTATATATATATATAAATAAAAGCCCATATTGTTTACAAAATCAGATCCAAAATACAGAATGCCAGAAACTTGTAAGAGAAAGCTCATTTTGAAGCATGAACCTGATTCCCTGAGACAGAAAAGGATGAGACAAACTACAGTAACAGTGATCTCCTTATAATGGTTTTTTGATTTGGAGAAAGATAATGCTTTTCACCCTTTGTTTTGTTTTAATTTTTCCTGTTCTGAGTTGATCACTACTGTTTAATATTTTGCGGAGTAAAAAAGTGTGATGTGAAATGCTTAAGTCTGATGGACTCTGTGTCCTGGCAGTTCATAGAAGTGTGTAGTACAGGAAAGCAGAATCTGGCAAACATCTGGCACGTTCTGTTATATTTATGGCTTTTCATAAGACTTTCTGCCAAAAATGACCATCCCAGAAAAGGATGCTTAGAGAGAAGTCTTTGAACATGCTTTTTTTCCCTTTTTTTTCCTCCTTTTTTTTTCTTTTTTTCAGAAAGAAAGTGATTGTTGCAAACTTCTCTGTTTTACAGAGAGTTAGAATACATTGCTGTACCAGTTGGCTAAAATGAACCATTTTGAGACATTGGATGGAGAAGAAAAGAGGTTTTGTTTTGAGACCCACTTGAGTCTTAAGACTAAAATCTTAGGAAGAGGGATTGTCATAAATGTTTGTGATCCTTATCCCTGAAGAAATTTTACTAACTTGTGTTTTTAATAACTTCCTTAGGCAATAAATTTTGTTGCACTGGTCCTACTTTGCAATGACTGGTTTGCTTCATAATTAGAATCTCTAATATGAAGAGTGTTACTGTTGAAAAGCAAATGTGACTGCTTATTTGTTGTTTTCAATGAAGTTTTATTTTCTCCCATGGTGGCTCCCTGCCTGAGCTTAGGTTTTGAGTGACCGTAAAAGTGGCCTCCTTTGTAAAGAATATGCTGATGTTGTCAGGGCCGTCTTGTGGTTGCTGCTCTTCCCCAAAGATGGGTAGGATTAGCTTTGCTGCAGAAATTCGTTATTCCTCCTTAGCTAGCACAAAGTGAGGAGCCATGATGAAGGAACTTTGAGACAGAGAACATTGTGCAAGGGCAGTGACTTGTGAAAGTTGATCCTCTTTAATGTAGAGGCATGGGCATGTGCAGCCGTAATGACTTCATACATCTATTTGTTTCACATGGTTTAAGAAAATTTTTTTTAAATCTTCCGTCTGTCAGTGGAAGCCCATGGTGATTGACTGAAATACACGACATAGGAAATGATGAGAACAAGAAATGAGGTAGATGTTAACTGACAAAAGAGCCTAAATTGAAAATGCTAAGCTAAGAACATATTGATCTGTGGGTAGAAACTGGTAGTAGGCAACCTGCAGTTTAGACTTTGTAGTTAGTAATGCTCTTTGGTGTACTGATGTTATGAAAGCATAGCAAGAAAAAGCTGAGAACTTAGAAGTCCTGACTTTCTTTTTTCTTTCTTTTTTCTTTAAACATCCAACTGGGAACTGGAATTCCTAGAGCTAATTATTTTAGTTTTTAGGAATCAGTTAGCTTCCAAATTCTATTTTTTTGTTAAATAATTGCTTTTCCAATAGTGAAGAGTAATTGGTTCCATGTTAAGACTATGGATAGATTCCAAAAAAACATTTTTAGAGTTAGATTTGAATCTTAACATGAGTTTTATGAGCTTGGGGGCTTTGTCTTGCTTTTAAAAACAGAATGTTAATATTGAAAAGCAAGATGCACCAAGTTTTATGTTAGCATCTTCTTGGTGGATTCACTTTTAAACTAGACATTTTAAGCTATGGGCCAATTTTGATAAACCAGTGTTTGTAAAACATTGTTTTTTTGGATAATTTCTGCTCTTTGAGAAGTACTAATTTATTTAAGAAATTTTGCCTCTGTGGGGACCCATCCATGTTGCATTTTCTTGGAAAAGAAAGAGAAATGCTGGCTTAATAGGCAGCAGGAGCAGTGCTTGCTATTGAAGGGGGGAAAAAAAAAAGCTGTTTTAAAAGTCAGCAAGTAGAGATGAGGAGAAATTAGATGACAGCTTTCTATGGATTGATATAGCTTCATGAATACCTGCAAAACTTGTATGCTCCATCCAAAGCTTGAGGAGCAGGTAGGTTTCAAGATGTCTGGCAGGTGGTTAAGTAATAGTTAGAGGTCTGAGATTAGAGCTTCCCCCAATAGAGCTACAAGGTAACCTGTGTTGGTTCTCCTTTTCAGGAGACCTGAATAGCCACTGCTGCAGCTACTCCTTGTTTTCTGCAACTTTTTTTTTTAATGAAGAAAGGAAAGCAACTAATTAGATACGGTGCGGTGTGAGCATACTTTTAATGGACTTATTGGACACTTTCTGAAGAACGTATCAGGATGCATCTGTAAAAAGTTAAAATTCTTTAAGCTGTATAATTGCTGTTCTTTCGTATTTATAGTTTCAGAATATCACCAGTAATTTTCTTTTGGGATGGGGCAGAGCAACAAAGGGCAAAAGAACCAGAGTAAGAGAAAAAAATCATAACCTTTGCTTGTTGCAGCACTAATGTTTTTCCTGTGATTTGTGTTTTATGGTCAAGGTAGATCTTAAAAGAAACAATTGTCCTTTTTAGGTGAGTTTTTATCACTTGATACCTTATGGCTTCCTGTGCCTGTGCAGCAGTTCATTTCAGCCCATTGTTTCTTTGTATTAGTATCGGAAATACCTATTCCTTTGTGTTATTGTTATAATACTAACGCTATAGAAATTTATTTGACAAGTGGGAAAATGTCTACCCATTATAATCACATAACTTCATTTCCAGATCTTCAGTTCATTAGCCAACTTGGCTAAAAATTGTGAAATGTACCAGTTCTCTTCACTTTGAAGTTTTAGTAGCTTTTTTGTTATTATTGGCAGTGTTTCCATTGCTAGTGTTGTGTTCCCCTGTGAGAATATGTAGCTTGCAAGAAATCTTATTGGTATGCAGACAGTAATACCCTAGGCTTTGTATTATGCTGTGTTGTGCCATAATCTTTCTGTGTTATTTCCATTTGATATCTAAATCAATAACTTACTGGACATTGTTTGCCTTTAAACCCTCTGTTTTATTACAGGCTTAAATAATAGATTCTGCTTGGTACATGTGAAAAATTGTGTGTTATTTATTTTCTCCTTCAAACAGATTACTTTGAATATTAAAATTACTTGCCTTGGAGAGAGGATTCTTTCCTCCTCTTGCAAGACTTTCTTTTGAAAAAAGTCTTTTGTGGATGACGTGGTGGGCTTGCTGGCTACAGTTCTTTTGCACCCTTGAGGAAAAAGATGCACCTAAAGCAGGCCCATGTTACTGGATTACAAAGAAGGCAAGATGTTTGTTCATTCCTCGCTCTTGGAGGAGGATATACCCTGTGCATCATCAGTCAGAGCAGTGATATCTGGCTTAGTGAATTTCATGTCCCTGTTATGGGTTCCTTGGT